GAAAGAGTAATGAGATGCCTATGTAGGTCTTTGAAGCCACTGTGATTTTTGGCAATGTTATTTTTAGACTGTTTTAATTTCTTTTTCAATCAAGAATTGGAAACTACAACAGCAGAGTTTGTCCTTAAGAGAATCCATCTTGGAAAGCTATCATTTAGTAAATTGTAGCCTGATGATACCAGTCGTGTCTGATTTTTGTTTACTAGCTAACTGAACTCGTTAACTGAAATCAATTCTACTTAAACGCATTGAATTTTTAAAGGGCATTCAGTCTCACTCCAGTTGAGTCTCACTGAGAATAGACATGTAAAATGGATATCTGGCATTGCTAATCAAATTTAAGACTTTAAAGTGTTAAGTAATTGTTGCTCTTATTCCCTTTATTCACAACTATCATTTAAAACATGTTTATTTTTAACTTAAAGAATTTGTAGATAATGCCATATTGGTCATATTACTGTAAAGCTTCATATTATTAATATATTATTGCTTACCGACAAGAGATTTCCTTAAGATTTTCCTTTATTAAGATTTCTGCTTACATAATATGATTTCTAATGTCTTAGTTGCCTGAGTTGATGTCTTCTTCCAAATAGGAGAAAAGTTTTCTGACAGCTCAGTTACAGGAAATGAAGAACCAGAGTTTGAATCTTTTCCAAAGGAGAGATGAAATGGATGAATTAGAAGAGTTCCAACAGCAGGAACTAAGTAAAGTAAAACACATGGTGCGCATTTTTGTTTTAAGAGCTAAATGCTAAATAGATTATTCATTACTTAGATTGTATAAGTTATCACTCTCTAAGTGCTGATAAACATATTCCAGTAGTCTTTGATATTAATCATATTTATGTGTTTTTCAACTTATTAAAGTGGAAATATTGTTTGAAATCTATTTCATTCTTCTTTCTGTAACTACTGGGTATATAAGGCCGCATATAAGCTCACAAAAAGTGTTATAAAAGTTTGGCTTATGGGTCCAGATTTTTTTAAAAATTAGATTTCTTAGTAGTGGTTCAGTGAAACTTTATCTTTGTAACAGCTCTTAAAAAAAGAAGAAAGTCTGGGGAAAATGGAGCAAGAGTTGGAGGCACGGACCAGAGAACTTAGTCACACCCAGGAGGAGTTAAGGGCCTCCACTCAGCTGTCATCGGACTTGAGCCAAAAGCTAGAAGAACTGCAGAGACACTGCTCAACGCTGGAAGAGCAGAGGTTCTTGCTTGGTCTGTGGGGCCCGTGGGAAGTGGTGTTAGTGTAGCTCTGGCCATAGCCCGCCCCACCTTTCCCCGTGACTCACCGCAGCACTTTTCCGATTCCAGTTCTCGCAAAGGCTTCAGGGCTCGTTCTTACCTGCCTAGGGCTCAGGACCCCCCACCCTCCAAGCCCTCATTCCCCTTCACCTGCCTAAACTCGGAACCCTCCAACCCTACTGAGCAATTCAGTGTTTTCTTTTCTGTGCTATTGAGTAACCAAAGGTAGATCAGGATTTCTCGCTTTAACCTGGATGGAATTTTTTCTCTTCGGACTTCTTCAGAGAAAGCCAAGGAGTTTTCTCATGGCTAATGTTTGTAGCCCTGATGTGTAAAGAAACATTTATATTTTTACTGTGGAAGAGTGTCTTAGATGAGATATCCAAATTTGTTTATTGTCTGCTTTCTTTCAATGAAGAGATCACGTGACAACTTCAAAAATGGGTGCAGAAAATAAGATCACAGTCCTGGAGCAAAAGGAACAAGAGCTCCAAGCATGCATTCAGCAGCTTTCCACTGATTTGCAAAAAGTAAGTAGAGTGCTAGGAGTGGACCCGGCTTCCTAGGCTTCGTGAATGGGGTAAACACTAATTCTATCAGAAATTTCTACCTCTGGATGGCCGATGAAACTTGTTTCTCACGCCATCCACGTCGCCCTAGTTCCTGGTCTGGCTGGGCTGCATTTCAGATGGAAGTAACCAAATAAGAGTTGCTGAACAGGAGAGATCGTTATTATCCTGACAAGAATTCTCAAAGCACACCATTAGATCTACTCAAGTATGTCTTAAAATACTACATGATGGACCCTGAGCATAAGAAAACATAAGTTATGGTTGACATGGCCAAAGTTGTATCTTTGACATACTTGGCTCTAACCCAAGTTGTTTAAAAAAAAACAACACATAAATGATATCATTATAATTTGTTTTTTCATTTGGCCAACATACGTTTATTGCCCTCCTATTCTAGACATGTACTAAATTCTGAGAATATAAGGATGAACAATAATATTATCATTGACTCTAGGCCAGTGTTTCTCAGTGGTATGTTTATCATCATTTGGAGCAGAACAATTTGTATTGCGTGACTGACACTTGCATTGCAGGGCATTTTGCTTTCCTGGCCCCAGGGCCAGGAAATGCCGCTGGTATCCTTCAGGCATTGACAAGCCAGCCCTTCCCCTCTTATGACAAAACAGCCCCTAGTGGGTGGAACCATGAACGCTACCCTCATCCCTTGAGAACCAGTAATGTCAAGTGTAAGGGAGACTTAGAGCATCATCACAGCACAGTTAGATTTGTATAAACGTAAATCTGATTACCACTTCCAGTTAAGCATTAGCATATTTACCGATCCTAAGTGGAAACTAAGAGGTCATATACCTTGTTCAAAGTTACACATTCACTGTTACACAGTAAGCGACAGAGCTGGATTCTAACCCAAATCTTACTCCAGAATTCATGCTTGTTATACTGGGCTTTTTGTCTCACAGCAAGGCTCACCCAGTAGATAGATCTTACACAAATGAATGACTGGGATACAAGGTCTCTGCGCTCGACCTGAGAATCTAGACACATACAGTGCTTTCTTTCAGAGGCTTACAGTTTCATTATGGAACTTAAATCTCCTGCGACCACAAGGGAAAAAAAGACATTTACAACTCAACAAATCCCAAATAAGTGAAATAGATTTTTCAGATTCTAAAGGTATACCATAGGGAGAGTGCATTTCCAGCGCAGGAGTCAGGGAACTCTTCCTGGGGAAACTGGAATTTCAAGGATAGGTAGGACACCAGGATGGAGAGAAGGCATCTGGGGAGTGGGGCTGTAGGGCATAACAGACCCAAAATTTGGGGATTTGAGGGACCCTTTGATATCAATTAGAACCATCCATCCATTTTGTAATTGGGAAAACTAATTGTCCAGACTCTGGTTACACTAAATCCCCTCATTCATTCTAAAAATATGGTTTGGGCTTTCCCATGGGCCAGGCTCTGTACTGGGTGTTAGAAATACCGTGGTGAGCAAAACAAATACCGCCCTCGCTGTTGTGCAACTTGTAGTCTAGAGGGGAAGTCAGTCCTGAATCAATGTGAAAACGTAATTACAAACCATTATGCGTGCTGTGAAGGAAACTGCAGGAGCCTGTGAGATCCTGAGAGGGCGTCAGATCCCATCTAGCCTTGGAGTGACAGACTCCTCTCTTGAGGCAGTAACTCCTGAGCTGAGATGAACTGCCGAGGCTGGAAGGAAAGGGATGATGGGAGAGAATTTCAAGCAGGAAAGAACCAGAAAACCTGAGGTCAGTAAAAGGATTAGCACATTCAAGGCACTGGAGAGGTAGCGCACGGAGTAAGAGGGAGGCGTGGGTCTCCGGCTCTGAGGAGGAAGCATCAAAAGCGTTCTCAGTTAGGAAGCCCTGAGGTTGTCCAGGTATAAGATGGTGGCTTTGACGAGTGGTGGTGAAGAGAACGGGGGAGCAGGCAATTTAAGAAATAGTGAGGAGCCTGACCCATTTGCTAATGCGATGGATATAGGAGGGGAGCAAGAGGGAGGAATTGGGAGTGATTTCTGGGTTTCTGACTTAATCAACTGTGTGGCTGATATCGTTGATGGTCAGGCTAAGGGAATACTCGAGGAAAGGTAGTTTTTTCACACAGATCGGCAGTTGGAGTCAGCTTTTTTGTTGTCCTTATTAATATTGAGTAGATATAAACCAATATTTATGAAATTAAGGTAGAGAGTATAACAAGGCAGTGATCCCTCGTGTAGCTTCCCAAAGCTAAGAAAAGGGAGAATATATTTATCATTAAGGCTCCCGGCATGCACTTTGCTAGTCCACTCCATCTTTTTCCTTCGTAAGCGCTATCCAGAAATTGTTCCATTTCCTTGCCTTGCTTTATAATCGCATCATATTTTATCCCTAAATAGTATCTGTCTTTATTTCTCATGCTTGTTAACATTATATAAATGAAATCATGCTGTAGGTATTCTTCTAAAACTAACCTTTTGTGCTCAAGATTGTATTCCTGAAAAATATTCATATGGACACATGCAGCTATGATTTAATCTTTTCTCAACTATATAGAGTGAAGATACCAGAATTTATTTATCATTCTATTGACAGTGGACATTAGGGTGTTTCTGGTCTTTTACTATTACAAACAAGGCTACTGTAAACTTTTATCTACCTTTGCAAGCATTGCTCTAGGGTATATTTAGATGTGAAAAAGTTGGGTCAAAAGATTTGTACTTTTTCAACTTCACTAGATAATGTCCAGTTTTTTCCCATAGTATTTGTAGTAATGTACACACTCTGAACCGCAGTGTATAAGAGAGATTAGGTTGTTCTGCTTCCTTGCAAATTACTAAACTTTTAATTTTTATCAACCTGATAAATATGAACTATTATCTCACCATGAATTTAATTTACTTTTCTCAGATTGCTAATGATGTCGAGCATCTTTTCATATGTTTATCAGTCTTTTATGCTCTTCTCTGAAATGCTGGTTCAGATCTTTTGCCCATTTTCAATGACATGTTCTGTCTTTTTCTCATTAATTGTAGGAATTCTTTATATATATCGTGGCTGTCATGCTCCTTTGTCAGTTATATGGTTTGCAAATGTCTTCTCCCAGTCTTGGGCTTGTCTTCACACTGTTCGTGGTCTCTTCTGATGAACGTATGCTCTTAATTTTCATGCAGTTGAATTTATTATTTTAAGTTAATGCCTTTGCCTTTTTAAGGAAATCTTTCCTTACAGGATCATAACACTATTCTCCTATATTATTATCTGAAAGTTTAATAGTTTTGCCTTTTATCATCAAGTCTTTAATATGCATAAAATGTGATTTGGGTATGGAAAAGGGATCTGCACCTTATTTTTTAAATTGTTTTGGTACCATTTATTGAAAAATCTGTTCTTTTCTCATTGATCTGCAATGCCAGCTTTGTCACAATTCACTTTTCTATATGTACTACTGGGCTTTGGGAAGTATGCCGGTGCGGCATTCGCACAGTACTTACTGCCTTACTAGCTGTGGTGTTCGGATAAGTCCTGATGTCCGATAAGATGAGCTCCCCACCTAGTTCTTTTTTAGGAGTTTCTTGAATAGTCTTGAATCTGTAGGTGCATTTGAGGAGCATTGATTACTTCATGATGTGGGTCTTCGTATCCAAAAACATGGTCTCTATCTCTCCAGGTACTCAGCATTGCTGTTTTTTTTAAATGACTCTCAATAAGGGTCTATAATTTTCTCCATAAAAGTTTGTTATCTATTGTTAAGTTTATTCCTAGGTGCTTTATTTTTTTATACCAAGTCTTAATTGTGTCATTTAAAAAATCATTTTTGTATTTATTGCTGACACATAGAAATACTATTATCTTTGTATGTTGATTTTTTTTGTATAACTGATTAACTCTTACTAAGCTTAATAATTTTTGAAGTCTGAGTTTCTTTAATAGTAATCATATTTGTGAATGGTGATAGTTTTGGGGTTTTTTTTTTTCCAATTATACCTTTTCTTTTCTTTCTTTTCTTTCTTTTCTTTGCCTTATCCTGTTGGGTTGTTTTCTTATTGTTGAGGGTTTTTTTTCTTATTGTTGAAGTTTTAACAAACCCAGGACCTTCTGCGTGTAAAGCAGACATGCTAACTGCTACACTATGGAACCACGTCCAGAATTTCATAGTTTTGAGTTTTACATTTAGGTCTGTGGTCCATTTTGAGTTAATTTTTGTGAGGTGTGTAAGGTCTGTGTCTAGATTAATTGTTTTTATACATGTGGATGTCTAGTCGTTTCAGCTCCACTTGTTGAAGAGGCTGTCTTTGCTCCATCATCTTGCCTTTGCTCCTTTGTCAAAGATTAGTTGACAGTATACAAGGGGTCTATTTCTGGGCTCTCTGTACAGTTAATTGGTCTATTTGCCTTTTCTTCCTCCAGTGCCACGTTGTCTTGATTACTGTAGTGTTATAATAAGTCTTGGAGTTGGATAGTATCAGTCCTCCGACTTTGTTCTTCTCCTGTAGTATCATGTTGGTTATTCAGGGTGCCTCTTCATATCAACTTTAGAGTCAGTTTATCAATATCCATAAATAACTTGCCGGGATTTTGATTAGTATTACATTGAATCTATAGATCAATGATTCTGAGAAGAACTGACATCTTGACAGTATTGTCTTCCTATCCATTTATTTCATTTTTAAAAAATTTCATATATTAAAGTATTATAGTTTTCCTCATGGATGTTGAACATATTTTGTTAAATTTATACCTAAGTATGTTATTTTTGTGGGTCTAAATGTAAATCGCTGGTAATGGTGGGTTGGGTCTTAATTTCAAGTCACACTTGTTCAGTGTTGGTATATAGGAAAGCAGTTGACTTTTGTATATTAACCTTGTAACCTACAACCTTGCTATAATTGCTTATTAGGTCTTAGAGGTTTTTTTTGTCATTTCATTTGGATTTTCTACATGTTATCTGCAAACAGAGACAGTTTTTATGCTTTCTTTTTATTTCCTTTTCGTGCCTTATTGCATTAGCAAGGACTTCTAGTACAATGTTTGAAAGGAGTGGTGGGAGGGACCATCCTTGCCTTGTACCTGACCTTAGTGGGAAAGTTTTGAGTTTCCTCACGGTTAAGTGTGATATCAGTTGTAGCACATTAGGTGCTGAGGGCCTGAAGTCGAGTAGCCAGAGTAGAGAGGGAGGCTCAGTGTTGGATGTGGTACACAAGAAGACCAAATGGAAATTGACAACTGACCTTCTGTCCCTAACTCTGCCTGACACGGTGAAGAAGACTTGTAGAAGACTTATTTGTTCTTTCGGTTTTCACTGGAAAGGGTCACCTGTATCTCTGAAGTTCAGATTGATGTGTAGTAGAACGAGTACAGGCTTTGGATCTGAAAGACCTGGTTTTGAATCCTTAATCTGTCTCTAAGGTATGTGCTTTCAGGCTAGTCCCTAAGCTTCAGTTTCCTTGGAAATGGACACACGAAGGGTGGTTGTAATGACTAGAGTTAATAGGAAGTACTTGCATATACTCCGTGGACTAATAGCTGCTATTGCTGCTACACCATGCTGTTATAATTATTACTGTTATTAACATTATTAGTAAAAGACCAATAAAGATGGGTCAACACGGCCAAAATTTTTTTTTTCCTTCCCATCAAACTCCCTCTCCATTCTGTGTTCTCTGCCTTGTGTTATGTTCCCATTCATCCAGTTCCTACTCACCACTACCATCACAGCTAAAGAGATAGATGGAAATAAAAACATGAGCAGCTGTTGGTTTGAGACTAAAGTATGAGATGCACAGCGGCTCTCTTGTGGTCCCTGTGCTGTGAGCCAGGGTGCATATCATCGTTTGTTTTAGACGTTCTCTCTTCGGCCTTTAGGCAGCTACACCCTCACCGTGACTGCTTCACCCAGCCCCACGTTGCCAGGAGCATTGTTCTGCAGGTTGCTTTAGGGCTGGCTGGGAGCTTCTTGCTTGGGATCGCCTCTGCTGGATTCTGGCATCTAGGGCAAAGACTGGGTCCTGTTGGGCTCTGGATTAACAGGATTGAATACATGCTTGATGGGAGCGGGAGGAGGAGCATGCCCTTAACTAGCGTGCCATCACAATACAGTCTGGTTATTTTAAAGAGTAGGAACATCTTCCCATTGTCCTAGCTAGATTCCACAGAGGTGATGGCATGGTTCCTTCCTAGATTGTCGTTGCTTGAATTTGGGGCAAGCGCTTGCCTCTTGCTGGACAAGTTATGAACTGGATGCATCAGCGGTGCTGGGTTCTGATTTTGTATCTTCTAGATCTTGTTTTCTGGGAAGATTTCCTGGCTATATGTTCTCCTAGGATGCAGTTGAGAACAGAGTTTCATGGGAACATGATGGTCCTAGCAGAGACAGGAGAGGAGAGAGGGTTTATAGGTTATTGTAATCTCTGCTTTCACCTGCAGGTCACTGCTGAAACTCAAGAGAAAGAAAAACTCATCACCCATTTACAGGAGAAAGTCACATCCTTAGAGAGGAGACTGGAGCAGAACTTATCAGGAGAAGAACATGTGCAGGAACTTCTGAAAGAGGTGACTAGCTCCCTTTGGGCCAGTCAGTGCTGGGAAGGCAGTTTTGAGGGAGGAGGGGATTTCATAAAGTCCTAGAGTTTCAAAGCTGGAGGGTCTGCAAACTGCTTGGCGAGAGGAGCACTCCCTCCCACTTTTGATTGTCTTGCTTTCAACAAAAAAGCCTCATGTCACCTGTGTGACATGTGTTCCTTAGGGACAGGGAGAGCTTTGTTCAGAGATACACGAGAACGAAAAGCATCCTGAACACCAGTAAATCTTGCCTAGTGATCGACTCCACGTGCCCTGTCTTGTCTTACTGCTCTGCTCGCCTCCTCCCTTTTGCACTTTCCTTTGGCCAAGGAAAATAGTTACCATCTGCCTTGCTTCAGCAG